AATTACGTTGTTAACTCATTGTTATGGATCAAAATCTTCGATCATTGATTAAGATGATGTTTCATTTCCTTCGTTAATTTTTCCACCGTCATTCATCTCTTGGTCAAACTCTAAAATGTTGTATGTCTAAAAAGTAACTATGTTTCTCATAATAGTTTACTATATACTAGAATAGGACTCGCGTTAATACGCGGGTAAATACAATAAAAATTTATGGGATAAATATTTAAATTTTCATTAATAACCCGTTGAATTTGAAAATACTATTTAACATGGATCCATTAGAAGTCAATTTCTATCATAATTCTCATGTTCTAATCCATAGCATGCAAATCCAAAAAATATATGTAATCAGAATTTAAATTATATTCTTAATAACAGAAAATATATATTTTAACTCATTATGTATATTTATGAATTATGTGATAAAATATAAAAATAATTAAAATACTAAATAGTTAAATCAGAAAAGAGTAAATTTTATGTTAGTAACCTCATAAAAACTATAAATAATATTGTGAACATATAAGTACATGATTGATAATTGTATTTTATTAATATCATCGTTTTTATTTCTCATAGTACTGCCAAACTTTATACATTATTAACTTATTAGTAAATATAAATTTTTTTTGTGGTAAAAAATTGTAAATATAATATAAAAATTTTCCTAGAATAACCTACTTTTTTTTAAAAATAGCTAGAATAACCTTACCATTTTTATTGATGAAATAACATATTCTAGATTTTTTTCTTTCATAATACCAAATTGTCCTTGGCAGACTCTGTCGAGGTATTGGCAGACTCTGCCGAGGTATTGGCTGACTCTGCCGAAACATTGGCAGACTCTGCCGAACATTGGCAGAGTCTGTGTATTTCTAGATATTGGCAGAGTCTGCCAATACATCGGTAGAGTCTACCAATGTTTCGGCAGAGTCTGCCAATGTTCGGCAGAGTCTGCCAATGTTTTGGCAGAGTCTGCGTATTTTTAGATATTGGCAGAGTCTGCCAATACATCGGTAGAGTCTACCAATGTTTCCGCAGAGTCTGCCAATGATTCGACAGCGTCTGCCAATACCTCGGCAGAGACTGACAATACCCCGGCGGAGTCTGCCAATGTTTCGGCAGAGTCTGCCAATACCCCGGCAGAGTCTGCCAATGTTTCGGCAGAGTCTGTCAATGTTTGGCAGACTCTACCAATGTTCGGCAGACTCTACCAATGTTTTGGCAGAGTGCGTATTTTTAGATATTGGCAGAGTTTGTCAATGTTTCCGCAAAGTCTGCCAATACCTCGGCAGAGTCTGCGAAGGACAATTTTGGTATTATGAAAGAAAAAAAATGTAGAATAGGTTATTTCAGCAATAAAAAAATAGTAACGTTATTCTAGCTATAAAAAAAAAAAGTTATTCTAGCTAATCTTCCAATATAATATAATTATTTTTTAACTTATATAAATTTCAGTATATACACTTGGAGAATACCAATGGCGTTATAGGAAAAAAATTAACATTTTCTTTGTGATATTCTATAATTCTAAGTATTCTTATAGATTTTTTTTTTATTTAATTTTTGAATGGCGGTGTATATATTTAAACTTTTAAATTGAGGTTTCTGTAACTTTTCTAACTTTTGGTTTTCCA